TAAATAAGGAAATCGTTCTAATACCATTTTAATAACACGTTGTCGTCTTTCTTCCGGGTCTTTAGGTCGTTTAGATAGTGTAGATTGAACATTTACCCGCGGTACAAATAAAGTCTTTTTCTCAATGGGAACGAGGGTCTCAGTAGCGATCAAAAATTTTTCAGCATCATTTTCGATTCAGACTTTATCCAGGGATCGAGCCCAGTCTCTTCCGTATATGCTCTATATAAACTCCAACGAATTTTTACTGTACACGTCTTGGGAAATGTTTTTATTGGTTTAATTTCAAATAAAAGTTATCCTGACCGTCGGTCGGGAACTCGCCGATCATTTTTGCCAAAAATTCACGAACATAAATGCATGAAAGCATCGGAATAATCCCGAAAATACACATGCAAAAGTAAACACGATAATGCAGAACTGCCTTTATTAATATACCAATAAATACATGATAAAATACAATATGAGATAAATAGTAAAAAATAATAGAGCTCTAATTATCATGTAGAGGGGAGGGAACAGTAGGGCTCGGATGAACGTTTCTGGGTGGGTGTGAACTAGCCTGTTCCAATGCTCGCATCAACAAACTCTTATTTACAATCATAATGTTCCTTAAAGTCAGCAATAACCGTAGAAGAGAGCCCACACGATGGAATGAAGTTGGAAATAATGGTATTTCTGCGTGATCTAAATGAAAATAACGTGGTATACCTCCCGCATCCTTGATAAGAACATTCAAATACATAACATCACCAGCTACCTGTATCCCTTCAACACCAAATTGATTAGCCATTGGTCTACACGTTGCGTCAATGAAACTTACCCCATCCAATGTTTCTCTCCATAGCTTCACGTAATCGTCATTTTTTTTAGTTTTACTACAGTTGATACGAGAGGATTCAACATATGCAAGCTCAAAGATCTTCTCCATAATTTTTATCATCATCATAACGTCAGGTTTCTTCCCCATACGTTCTCCGCTAAACCCTATATTTCTCCGAGCTTTGCTTGCAAGACTCTGGCGTTCCGCTCTACAAGTAGTAAAAAAAATTAGTGGAATCATTTCAACTTTTGTAATAATATTTTATCAATAATCTCTCACGTGCTCAAGCAAATGTAATCATTTGGAAGATCCCCCAAACTCGCCCGAAGTAATGGGACTATGACATCTGTTATATATGTCCCCTCGCTTTGTTGATTACGAGATGTACTAGTTGCAAATGCTGGATTACTCCAAATCTCCCCGCTGATTAAAATTTATATAAGAAAGGTGCGTCATTAAAAATATACTTTAAACAATTGATAGAATCACTTACAGTACACTCAGAATACGCTCTGCTATTTTCAATAACTCAGATTCACTTTCTTTCCATGTTTTATTATGAATAATATTCCCCATATCTCTTGGAACATTTGTGTTATCGAAATTTTCAACAAACTCTTTGCACTTGGATACGACTGAATTAGGGAGAACGCATCTCATATTCTCGCGAGGCTCCTAATGAAATATAAATGTAAGTTTAATCTACTTAAGCACCCGATACTATCCATTCATACCATAAATATACGCTTCTGTCTCGTTCCCAATTTGTTCACTATCTCCGATTCATCGCTGATCACCATGCTAGCTTCAGGATCCTTCCACGTGAGCTCCGATTGATTAATATTGCCCAGATTTACCCTGAGAGAACCATAAAGGTTTGCATCACTTTCTAATACAGGGTGCTAAAAAAATTTTCAGTTAAGTTGACTCTATCAAGATATGCCTATAAAAAAAGTCAAAGTTTACCTCGAGTTTGGATTTTAAGGTGTTAAGATTTCGTTCTATCTCATCTCTCGAATGGTCTTGGGGTAATTCCCTATCCTATATATTGGTTAGTCCCTAACATATTTATATTTTGAATCATATTTATCTTTCGGAGAAAGTGCACTTTGTGTATTAAACATTGTACCGTATTCAAAGCCTCTATTGAAAGCAAACCAACAACGCTTTTGTGTCCGATTAGCATCTACAGCAGATATAATAGGGTATACCGGTATATTAGACTTATGATCATAAATCTCTTTGGGAATGGTAATATGTGCACGTGCATAATCAGAATAATCAAATTATTATTTATCACAGTTTTGGTTGTATAGTCACGCACAGCTAGGGAGGAGCAGAAACCTTCAACATCTGACGACATTGCTCTTCCAGGCCGGCACTCCCCAACCTTCAGCTATGACATACCAAAGCTTGACTAAAAATCTGCTGTAGTTACATCACTTTACATAAAAATAAAAATAATAATTTTTGTCACTAACTTCGGGAAGTACTTCCAAGATTCTTATTCTTCGTTCCGTATCAGATATTTCCGCTAATGCCGAATTTACCGCACGATCTGCCAAAGTTCTGATGTCTTCATATCTACTCAAATTGTTACCATTCATTGCCAGATAAACTACATTCGCACCACAAACCGCATCTAAAGGTCCGTTTAATAAGAGATTTTTGATTTGAGTTATTGACATCGTAAAATTGCTTTAAACAATATGAGTGTATGCACAAAAATAAAGCGTTTACATCATTTGCAATGATTATTCCCAACATGACGTATATAATATTAATACTGTGAGAAT